GATTGTTATGTTTCATGCTGGGATGATGGTTTGCCTCGATGGTGTATGATCGAGGACATCCGATTGGATTTGACCCTGCGAACTACAAGATAAAAAAGTGATTTCCCTTTATTTCGTACATTACCTTTCTTTGTTTGCCTTGGACAGTTTGATCAAATTGTGGCCGTGCACAGCATGTTAATATGTGAATAAGCTAGAGTTTACTGAACTAGCTCTAATTTCCCCCAAAGCGGACATTGCCTAGACCCCAACAACTGAACAACGTAACTCTGCATCAAACTAAACGATCAGACAACCTTCCCAGTCTCAAGTCATCAGATGTGGTGATTATCTGCAGTAGCGTCTTGTACTAAACGTGGCGGTGACATCTTGATATCCCATCGGAAGAGCAATTCATTGTAGCGGTGAAAGGTCGGCCACCTGGCTGCTCATCACAGGGTGTCTGTTCGCAGGGCTTCGGGTCAGCAATATAACAAGATTGCAAGCTCTGCTTATCTAGTCTACTAGGCAGTGAGGAGGACATGATGCTAAGATTGTCATCTTCGCTCGACATACATGATTTAATGCACCCAGACCCCTCCTCTGCCACATGATTACCCCTTCTCTCTGGTTCGACGATCACATCCTAAGAATATATCTCCGGCAAAAAAAAAAAATAATAAAAAAATAGACATGGCAATTTCAAATAGGTACGTATACGAGGTGCCTGCACACCTCCTTGCTGTCTGCAAAACAGACTCTCCACGCGGTTAGAATTGTTGTACATGCATTTAAACTGTACAGATAAGGAGGTGGAACTGGTTTATTTCCCCCTAAATTAGAAGTTCTTGAATCTTTGAAATATCTAAAATATCTGGAAATATATATCTTGAGAGAAAAGAGAATCATCAACTTTTGTGCCCTTAAGAGGGGTAAAAGGAGGGGCAATGTCAGATGTTTATTCTAGCTTCTCAAGTAATGACTGACAATTTCGAAACACAAGGGATATCATCTACGTATATTTCTCGCGTGGGATGACATTAAACCATGATAAACGCTCGCATGGCATTATCGACTTTCCACCTGTTGTCCGTTTATCGAACCCGATTGGTTGTGGACCTGCGTTCATGCTATGTTTCAGCTATCTAGATCCCAGGCAAGGGATGTGGATGACCAAAAAAAAAAAAAAACGCGTTTCTGCATGACTGATCTCTGATGTGGGCTCCGGGGGACGGTAATGTTTCCTAAATCTTGTTCGATGGGCCATGTCTTGACCAACCAGAGAGATAAGAATCAAGATCTTCAGATCATGAACGGTACCCAGGTTGTGTACCTCGACAAAAGAAGTAATGTCGATGCCTTTTGTAAAGTTAGATCGAGATCTCGCACGGACATTATGAAATACAAAGATCAGGTTTCCGGACACTCCGTACTCCGTAGTTAAAGCTCCAGCCGGGGAAGAATTGTGTTCCCCTAGCGAATTCTCTTTTTTTTTTTTTTTTTTTCTTCATCTATTTTTGCACCGGGATTTGTGTGTTCTATGCACAGTCATGCTTTGCATTCATCCACTTCCTCTTTTGGCCCTTAGCCCGAAGCCTCAAACCTCCACTTGAAATGGCAGTGATTCCGCTCCCCGAATGGGACCGAACGTCGGTATCCCCGCTCCCCAGCAGGTCGATCGTACATGGTTGATGTGCAGTGCTTTGCATCAGTGGCGGGCGATTTGGAAGCTGGTTGTGCGACCAGCGGAACTCGATCCCGTGTACGGATACTCCGTACAGAGAGTAATGGAGTAGCTGTCTTTCTACAATATCCACATATGCACGCTACCGGTAATCCCAGCTCCAGTTCTACACATACTAGGAGGAGGCAATTTGGATATATTTTCCAGGAACGTAACGAACCAAGAAGGCGATATGGGTCTGCATGGTACCTGCTCCATCTTCCCCTCTCTTGAGTACGAAGAGATCCATATCTGACACTCTGTGTTGTATGTTGTATATGTTGAGATTTCATTTTTGCTTCTTTTACACTTATTCCCAAAATCTTCCAACGGCATGAATGATCTGCATTTTACAATCAAAAGTACAATATTGTAGAAACATCTGGAATTATCGAGACTGAATTGGGAGGAACGTCTGCAAGCCTATGTTGTAGGATCGACTCAGCCCTGAGGGGAAGAGGGGAGCCAGCCACGGTGGGAACCCACAAACACCGCACACCGCGACAATCTCATGCACGATGCACCGTGAACCTATTATTTTTGCACTGGAGAACCGATGTGGCGGGACTTCGAGGATCACTTTGTAAGGCTAAGACCCATTTCGCACAAGAGGAAGTAGAATTAGGGCCATGATCATCAAGAGGGGAAACTTCAGATCGAAGTTTGAATGCTTGGACTCTTCGAACTCAAAAGTCTTTTTTTGGGGATTTGGTCCAATTGATTGGGTCTACAAATGGAGCGGAATATAATGTGGGTAATTCCTTGCGTCAAACAGTTGGAAAATGAGCTAATCTAATGGAGCCGAATAGAAGTGGCACCTTCATGCTTGTAATCGTTTTTTTTTTCTTCTTCTTTCCTTTCTTTTTTTTATATGTTGAAGAGCTACATAATCCGCACACGACAGACGCATATAGCCAGTAGTTGGTAATAATGGCATGCACCTTAATCATTGGACCAATAGGAACTCCGAGTGGTATTTGTCACAATGCTGGCCCCGCAAGAACGCAGTTTTTTCCCCAGCCACTGACTCGCGTGGGATACCGGGCCTTCCCGGTGAGGAAAGTACGTATTGCAGAAGCCCCATCTAGGATCGGGGAAGAGTAGGATTGAACGGGCGAAAGGGATCTTGTTAGTTGGTCCATCGGGCTCCAGTTTGTTCGCCGCATTGGATCCCCGAACGAAGATTACATAAACATGATCTCTAAAGTTTATATACAATGACATCTGTTCCAGCTTCACCACTCGATCGGGACCAAGCACAGATCTCCAGGGACGATCTGACGGGTGCTACTTCGGGAAATTTGTCCGTCTTTGCAGCCGACGGGGACGACAATGGTCCACTGGTTAAGGTCTTACGATGGTGGTATTGGTCCGCGGATCGGGGACAAGCGGACACTAGAGACTAGACTGATAAGCTAGCGTGATTACTGGGAAAACGAGATATATCTTGTCGGTTAGGAAAAGCGGCATTGAGAAAAAAAAAAGAGCAAAGGCTGGACGGAGTAGTGTAAACGCGATCGCGAGTATTAGGTTCCGCTATGGTGGATTCGGCAGGAAGCTTTGGGGATAAGAGTGGCCCGGGGAAGATTTTACAGTTTCTTAGCAGAGTTCGCACTATCAACGTAAAGGAACTAGAGAGTGCCAGTGCACGGAAAAATAGTGCAATGATTGGTTGTGAGTGAAAGTTGAAGAGAAAAGTACGATGCAAGGACCTCCAGGGCTTGAAAAGACTCCGATGGATTGGACAGATAAGCCACATCTCCATTCACCTCATCCAGGTATCTGGGATTCTGGGTTCTCACAAGGTTCGGCCTACTAACATTGTCTACGGAGTAGGTGGTTAAGGATAACCCCACTTGGCGCTGTTGGATTTTCTTCTTGAAACCAAGGAGCTGGATGAGTTTATCAGAGTTTCCCAATCTAGAGCGACTATCAAAGCCTCCAGGGCTGATCCTTTTGACATTTGATAGGATTATTTCTCAACATGGCTTTTCTCCCCTTACATGTGTCGTATACTCCATGCAGGTGATTTCCACGTTCCCCCACTGAGGCGATGAAGCGATGAGGCGACCGGAGTAATATTCCGCTGCAAGGGTGTCTCCTGACTATCCCAGGGCTAAGCGAGACCGAAGGAGGGAACCGAAAGTGGACCGCGAACAATGCATTGAAGAAGATCCAGCCAATCTGGTGAGACTGACTAGGTATAAAGTACGAGTTGTGCGTAAGAGCTTCGGACATTGCGCCGCCACATACCAATGTGAATTTCGATTATTCCTACATCATAGATAGACTAGATAGACTAGGTCGAGCCGATCAAGCCTCAGGGGTAAACGTAAAGAATACCACGGTTGCACCTATACCCTTGTCTAGAGTCGGAAATATATTCTACTTGCGATATAATGGGAGACCAACAATAGATTAACTGCAGTAGCGCTGCCCCGACCTGTAGGTACACTATGGGCGGCCCTTCGGGCCGTACCACGATGGGGAAATAACTCCCTGCTGTTTCACATTGCTTTTTGCTTGTTGTTCTCATTGTCCATCTATTGCAAACAACAGGGAATAGAAAGACTGCATATTTGGAATACATTAATATTATCGAAAGCCACCACATCATGCATATTTGTAATACTTTTTGGCTTACAACCTTGGAATAGGATAGGCGACATCCTTCCAAAGTTGGAATGAAGCCTCATTGGGATTGGCTGCCCCAAAGATAAATGATGCTGTGATCAACACCACTATCACTAGGGCACATGAGAATTGGACTTTTGATTATACGACCCCGGCCAGATGTAAGCCCAATGTCTTGGAATACCTCATAGTTCCCATTCGGCCCATTCGGGTAAGATATCGCTTCCTGAAACTCTAGGCTGGAGATATTGGATGTGGTAATCGACTAAGTGGAAACGAGGTTCATTTCTGTATCAATTCCAACCTACCGGGTAGAGTCAAAAGGCTCTATGATCCTCAACTTTGACCTTTCCTTTGGGATAGTGGGGAATAAACTAGACCATATTCGGAGTTTGACAGCTTTAGTTTGACCGGACCGCCATCCCCGGCCCGCCCCAGTCCACTGGCTTGGTGTGGATCGAGTCTGGGCCCCTAGGGTCCTAGTAAGATTGAATTTGGGACCAGAGTGATGCTCCACAGTTTCTAAAAAAGCCATCGTCGACCGATCACTGGCCAATGTCAAAAGTACAAGCGCAAATGTCACTGCCCTTCTGACCATGAACCTCCCTGCCAATCTTAGTCCTCAAAAAAGCAAAGGTACCAAATTGTGTCTGGGGAGCACTCCTTACGGGTCCCGGCTTCGGCCACAAAACGCCCCGATAAAAGAGGCGGATGCTAGATGACGCAATGCCAGTCTCTCTTGGATCGATCGAGCTCGATCGATGTGCATCATTGATCGATCGTGCCTGTCGTGGCTCGGATTTGCGCAACAACTTGCCCTAGTCATGTGGCATTTTAGTCCGTCCCGAAGATCCAAATAGAGTGCCAGTTTGATAGGCCCTGACGTTTCTTTTAATACGAGGATACTCCAATGCAGGCATCTCTTACCTAATTGGGAAATATACTCGTCTTCCATATGTCATGCGCGCAGGTTGCCTCTCGACAGTATCTTTGTACCACAATAGCACACCGATCATGCAGCCTAGAAACGACCGTCTCGCTATTCCCGCTGATACTTTGGCGAACAGACTCACTCTGTATACACTCCCACCCCTTTTCTACATGTCTACTCTGTACAACATACCCCTCCCTCAAATTGCTTAGTTCTATCTCGATGGACATCAGCCCCAGACTGACTATTGGACCATCGAATGCCGAAGCGAAGGATAGACATGAAGTAATTTCCTAAAGTACGACACTACACTTCCCGGAGCTTACTTTGTACGTTGTATATCTTTGTACACTCTCGTAGCGGTGAACCAACCTAAACAGACATCCCAGTCCATGTAATTTTTATCGAGCGTTCCAGAAGTGTGCGACGGGCACAGACATGAAGTTGTTTGAAAGTAAATGTAGATCACCCTACCAACCCCGATTGTGTGATTGTTGCAGTTATCCCCAATCTTCTGACTTGGCCCCCACCCCGTCATTTTCTTCCCGTCAGTGCACACCCGCTGTCACATAACCGCCGAGGCCGCACCGAGCCAAGTCCAGGCCTCATTTTGAGATTTCAGGGTGATTGCATCACCGAACAACTCCGCGCCCTAACTAGTTCCTTTTTTGGTAGTGTAAGCGGTAATAGCGGTCACTATATTATTAGGCACTCATCAAATGTTTGCTCTGAAACTAGTGTGGTCGGGATTGCCAACGCCAAGCTGTCAAACTTCTCTGACACTTGTCTTGGGTTTCAAGATCTTCACATAAATTAAGGTCAAGCAGGGGATATCCATGAATGCTTTCTTTGCTGCACCTTAAGTAAACAGTGCAGACATTTTTTTTGCCCCTTCAGCCGTCATGGGCCTGTGGCAGTGCTCAAAATAGCATGAGCCACGTTGTGGCTAGTCTGTGGCTGGTCTGAGCGTTCGGGTAAGGATCATCTCTTACGCCCAATGAAAAGCTTCGATTTACAAGTGTCAGATACTAGAAGTCTGATCATCTCAGACAAGTTTGGTATTAAAAAGGGGGGTTGCGTCTAAAATCTAGACCCCCAAAACCATTCAAAGTGAATTGAAATACGGAGTATTCAACATGACAACTCCGCAGTTCATACATAGTATATTCGGAGTAATCCGTGATTTCAAATAGATCTAGGACTTTTGTTGAATATTTCTTTCTTTCTTTTTTTTTTGGCTACCTGGCCCTAACATGAAGTATTCCGTAGTTTGCGGCGGAGTAGAGAAGTCCACTTGATTTCCACAAAAAAAATCCACGGCGGCTAAGCGGACAAAGCAAACAACCCCAAGAACATGTAATGGGGGGGCACAAACAAAGAGACACTCTCCGGGGATGTCATCGTTGAAGCCGTAAGGAGTAGAACTTCCCGATTACTTGATCAAAGTATTGGATATGCCTAGTTTTGCGAATTTTTGCGCCCTCAAAGACCCAAAATAATGACAAATAACGGACCATTACCCTAAAACATTTAGTTTAACGATACTGCCTTGTTCTATCTATACCTTGCGGCAAGCTAGAAAAATATATAATTTATCTACGTGCTTCCGCGGAGGTTAGTATATGCAATTTGAGGTACGGAGTACTGCAGTCCAATACTATTGCTGTGGACGGCAATTGGAATGTTACAATGTTAGGTAAGTAGCAGACAGTAGTCTACTTCGATGAGATTGATCAGATCTATACAATATTCAAAGTACACAATCAGATTGGAGTTGTTTGTGCATTAAAAAAAAAAAAACTCTGCCTCTTGCATCTTCCCCGATATAGCGTGGATGAATAGTGGGACCAAGGAGATATGTATTCCCCTTTTGTCATGTCAAGATAGTAGACAAGATAGAGTAGGTTAGAGTGTTTTAGATTCTGTCCCCCTTTTTTTGGGTAGCATTGACCGACTTGGGCCGTTATGGTCATCTTCTTTGTTCCGGGTGATTTCAAAACCCATAGTGTAAATGGTAGCGGCTATCCTAAGAAACGCCAGTGTAATCCACCGGGACGGGAGATGGACGCGTTGACAGAATCCTGGGTACGGAATTCCCTCTCCCCTGGACTCTCAGCACAGACCCAGGCGGGGGTATTAAAGGAGACACCTGATTGGGCTGTCACAAAAGGTCCCAGACGTCAAAAGGTACCGCCACTAACCCGCCGTGGGATAATTACTCGAACCATTTTGCAACCAATTTTGTTCCCCGGAGAGAGTAGATCACGCCGTGGTGCTGGGATTGCCAAACACTCTAATACTATCTCGATCTGTCCTAGAGCGGTTTTTGAATTTATTATAGCCCACCTTCGCGGATAAATCGGTATAGGCGAGAGAGCTACAGTCGTATTAATTAGTACTTTTTTTTTCCATTTCCCTTTCGCTTCAACTGATTTGATCAACTTGATTTGGATTCATTTGGCGAGATTTGAGGTCTGATCTCAGGGGGGGGGAGAGGGGGGTGTTTTTTCGGCCATGCTAATGCTCAGCTGAAGCCAAGGTCTATGATTCCAGAAACCCACTGTTTTTGGCTTGCCACCCCGGAGTAGGTATCTGTCAATGAACGGAGATCGACGACCAGCAACAAGCTCAAGACGGGAATAAAAAAGAAACACTGACAGTTTATCGGCGAGTCATCTCCCAGGATCCAGGGTGTTGGGCCATGCACAAGCCGCACCTTGATAGGTTCACGAAGGATGGAGAAGAGTGGATTCATTTACTTGGTTGGTTACTAGTGTCGGGGCACTTTGGTGTTGAGATCCGGAGATCGAGAACACAAAAAAATGTTATAGATAATATTGAGTCTTCAAATGTAAGTAATAAGTTAATACTCCGTATAGTGTGATGTAATATGATAATATAGGCATCATCATGCACTTTTAGTGCGTAAAGAGAGTACTTTGATTAAAATTCAACAGCATCACCGATGACGAATTGCTATTTGAACCGGGGCCTCCGAAAGCTCTGCGATCTGCACATTAAGAATAGCACCCACACGGCGTCAATAGGGCCTGTGCGTCTTCCCAACGGGGGTATTCTGGTATTTGGGTGTGCCTGACAGCTAGACGCGAGTGCTTAAATGGGTAATAGGCTGATGTTCGGGGTTTACATCTAACTACATAGGTCTAGGCCGAGAATTGGTTGCCTCGTATACCAATGGTAAGTGGTTTGGGGATCTGATCCCCTTGGATTGAGTCTTTGTGAACTGACAGCAAGCCATGAGGCCTGCTTGTGGGGGGGCAAGAGGTGTGGTCGATCGATAATGAGCGCCACTCTTAGGGTTTTTCCCGAGTTAATAGAATTAATAGAATTAATAAGAATTTAATAATTAATTAAATAATATAAATTAACCCAAAAATATATAAATTATAAATTATAAATAAATTCAATAAAATAATTCAAATCAAATCAAATCAAAAGGAAATAAATAATAAATATACCTGCGATCTACAAATAGTGTGGGACAGGGATCCTGGATCGGGTCAAGTCTAAGCTACTGCATGTCCTTCGAATGCGCCAATCTCGCTGCATGCATACGATCAGAGAGGGACTCGGCTTCTAGGATCATCCATGTTGAATTAATGGTCATATTTTTTTATCGTCCTTTTGTCACGGTACACATTAAAGTCTAGAACTGAAAAAGGCTTGCATATCCCCTTCTTATTCCTTTTGATTTCTATACTCCCTCAGCTTTATTTAAAAGAACATCCCACTTGATCAAATCTTTCTTCAAGATATTTTATTCTCAACTATTCCAACCCCGTCACCTTTCGTTTACCTGGGAACACAAAAAAGTGGAGGCTTCCTTTCGTTCCTTGTTCCTGCATCCCGGTTACGAACAGTCACTGTGCTGCAGTCATCCGCTTTCCATCCCCATTGAGACACCTGCACATTGTCACCTCAAACAGTGTGAGTACATCCTGCCAATTTCTTCTGCCTCTGTTTGTAAGCTTGATTGGATGCCCGATTATCGGAATCCCAGCGTTTGTCCTACCGGTTCCCGTACCGGACCGGGAATGGCTATTCCGCCGTTGGTTCATGAACACCCTCTCCCGGGGACGGACTGGTGCTGCCGAAGATGCTTAGAGGCAGTTCGCTAACTGCAAGTCTACAGAATTAGTACCAACTTCTTTGCAAGACGAAAATCGCAACCCCGCCACTCGAGCCAACACAATCTATAAAGAGAAGAGTCTCTCCTGGACGTGCAACATTCAAAACCAACATCACTCTCATTTCCAGTATCTTGATATACTATCTTGACTGAGACTAAATTACACTTCGCGAGACGACTGCGTCCTCACACACCTAGACGTGTTTATACCCGCCACAATGGTGTACAGTAAACCAACAAGCGGAGCCATGAAGAGGTCTGCCTCGGCCCTCGAGGGACCCCCAGGATGGGGAGATGTTCCTGTATGTTTTCCTTGAGAGAGATCTGAATTCATTCTTACTAACATCTGGTTTAGCCTATGATGACCAACTCCCGTTCATCATTCCGCCCTCCTTATGCTCACTTTGCCATGATTTATCTCGACCGTGATGGCAAGCTCAAGGTTGATGAATCATCTTCCATTCAAGAGCAAAACTCCACTGTTTTCACCCCAGAAGTCCGCCAGAACTTCCTAGAGATTCTGGGTGAACGCATCGGCTACCATGTCCCTGCTCGCCGTATGTTAAAAGTTCACTTAGCTTGGTCAATATGTGCTAATACCAATTTATAGAGACAATGGACACATCTCCTCGTCGAGTGAGACGCCGCAAGGGCAACGCTCCTGTTCTTTCTGTCAACGATGACCGCCTGACTGAGCAGGACACGGATAGCGAGGAGCTTCCTAGCGGGTCTACTGAAATGGTTCCTCTGCGTATTGGAGACGCCCAAAAGGTTATGGCCTACTACGAAGGGGCACTAAAGCATTTCCAACAGCTGAACTGCCGCATGGTTGCCAAGGCATTCATCAAATTCATCGAACCTCGCAAGCAGGTCCGACACCCTTACAACGGTGGCAAACCACCAGCAGGATCCGCCCCCGGTACTACAGGTGACCCAGAAAAGACTAAGCCCGAGTGGTGGCCTCCCGGTGTTATGCACAAGGAGCCTGACCACTTGAGAAAAGAGTGTATGATCTGCCTATGTTCTTGATTCTTGACCTACTTACTTACTTATTGATAGACCGCATCGAACTCTTGCTTCACATTATCCGCAAGCTTGGTGCTTACGGTATTACTGCTGATAAGCTCAAGGATGTTGCTGGCGACACCAAGCGGAGCTTAAAGCACGCATCCCATGTCGAGATCATCTACGAGATCCTCCGGGTCCGCAAGATGGAGGAGCGCTTCGAACGAGGTGAAGTTGATGCGAACATGGTCGTCTACACTATGAACCGTGGCCCTAGCCCTAAGGGCGACGAAGAAGACGACTCCGCCGCCTCAGTCACTATCGAGGAGCCCGAGCACATCAACCAAGGATTAATGACCCCTATCTCATCATTCGAGCAAGCATCCACCTCATTAACCACACCCATCGACAACATCCCATCAGCCCGCTCCCATCCAGGCAATTTTTCCATGGCAGAGTCTCTTACCTTCGAAAACACCACCCGCCAGGACCGCCCTTACTACACCACACCTCCCCAATATACCGATTCATTCTCGCAGCCCATGATCAGCACTCCCGTGACCGCAGAGATGATCAGCCCCCACGACGTCTCAGTCTCAGCCTTCGACTACTCCGCTCACAACACCTACCCAAACAACACCACCGATCAGCGCGCGGGGGTAAATGGCCACTACGATACCTGGACCCCGACTTTCCGCCAAAACATCTTCAGCCCTGTTGACTACGCTACACCGGCATCTAGCCAGGGTATGCCCCAGCCTGCGATGACATACCAGATGCCTATGGTATCACACATGCATGACATGTCCCATCACCACGCCCAGCAATCCCACATGGACTCCATTCACCAAAGATCCCTGCCTTTCCGTACGGGATCGCTGGGCCACCCAAACCCTAACGGGATGACTCTCTCCCACGCTGTTTAAATGGGACGTGGGGCTCTTGTCACAAATGACTCGAAGATGGTGGTTTAATGGGGCATGGGTATGGATATGGATATGGGTATTAACGAACATATATATGAGTGATGGCTCTGGTCAACAAACTTAGCGCTCATCATAAGGCTTTGCCTGGGGAGTTGTTGTCTTTTTTTTTGGGATTCATGGTGGTATAAAAACTTGGGGTCATCTCGACAGGTGCCGGTACAAATAGGGTCTGTTTGCTTATTTTTCTTCTTTCTTTTTGGAAATATTTGGGACTTGTTTGATTTGAAGTGGGTTATATTCCGGTCTTGGTTTTTGTTCTGTGATCTCTTTTTTCTTTGATTTTCTTTTGTGGTCTTGTTATTTTTTCACTTTTTCTTTTTTGCTGTTAGCCTATTGTTTCTTTTTGTTCTCATCTTCTGTTGATCTGCTTATCTGTCTGATCCTTTTGATTTTGGTTGTGAATATGGGTTTCCCCAACATGGATGTTTGGGGCTGTTGATAAATGAGATTTGGGTAGATACTGGAAAAATTTATTCTGTCGATAATATGCAACAAAATCTCCTTTTTTAATTTCATTTCTAGTCTTATGACCTTTTAATGGGGTATCATTACTTCACTATGTTGTACTTGGTTCTCAGTCGAGAGACTTACACATGTAGTATTACACAAATAACAGCATAATACAAATGGCGTAGTCAGTAAATCACCAGTTTCTCAACCCTAAGATCTAGTAGATATTATTCAATTCCACAAGAAAAGTCAGCTGTTTCTGCGACCTGGGGCCTCCCAAGGTTAACATTGCGTTTTATTTTTGAATGCCATTTTCCTTTCTTAGTTGTTTAGTTAGAAAGAAGATGCAAAAGCAGTAGTTATAAAAGATAAAACCTACAGACAACATTTCAATGTATAACCAGGGACATGACTCCCGTGTCCCTCTGAAAACTATCCCCTTAAACTAGTCTTATTGTTGCTACAACAGGAAGGTTTGAAGAGGCACCCGAGAAATTCCTCGCACTCGAACCATAGCAAAACATCTCATAGTTCGAGCATCGGAAAACCGGAATTCTACCCGATGTAGCTTTTTTACGGGGTTCATTTTACATATGAACGGTGGATACAAATGGAATTGGCAGTTTATCACTGATTTTAGGAGGAGAGACTAATAAGCTTCTTGTATGCCAGGCAAAAAGGGATGCCACGGCACTGAAACGCGAGGCTTAAAGTGATTATCTTGTATGCGAGACCCAGCTCGACCTTTTTGTATCTCCACATTTTTCTATTTTCTTTTGGAGTCTTCTGGCCTAGGTAGCATATGACATGGTCGAGGTTTTGCCTACGGCCACATTCTGCCTGGATAGGAGTATGAATTACACAAGCATATAGAAGACTAAAAAGAAATCCTATGCTTCAATAAGTACAAGACCAATGCCTATATTAAATTCCCATTTATCTCTTTCGCTCTAAACCTCTGCTCGAGCCCAATACCTTTATATTTATTATATGTATTATGCTTGATTCCAAGGTTCGAATCTCTCTTGCCGCTCCACATGATAATATCTGCCCTAAATTCAGATGAATAGACCTCGGGAGGCCCCGAAATGTGTATTGATATTTCTTTATAGTATAATATAACCTTGTCAATGATAGCTATTGTCGATAATACCTATTGCTATGAAGAAGATTCCATCTAATGGGCCCTGGAATATACAAGAATTCAATGACTCGATCCAGCTGCGGCCAATTAGACGCAAGCGCGCGCGCCGACATAAGCGCTTGGTCAGCGGAGTAAGCGGAGCCACTCCGCTCAGCTTGAAGCTCCGTGAGCACGGCGGAACTTCCACTTCCATCCTCTTCAATCGCTTTATTCTCAGTAAGTTCTTACATCGGGCCTTCATGCGTATGCGGGTCTCGTCGCGGGGCTGATAAACCGGTGCGCATTTTTAGTTCACGGCAGTATCGCAAACTCCGACGCGCACGCTTCACGAGCTTGAACGATCCCAATCATTCGCAAATACCGAAGGCGACCAGGCCGTGAGGTCGCTTGCACGTCCATTTGAAAAGAAAAGACCCGTGAGTTTACTGACAGGTTGCGCGAATACCTATCCCCAAGTCCATCTCAAGTCCTCAGCTTTGTCCTCCGGCCTTCCTTTGTATCCATCCGCTGTCTGCTCCGTGCAGAATTGGGCCATCCCAACCACCCCCTCGCGGCTTTGTAACATGGGCTGACTTCTTTGTTGTCGCCTCGGCGCACTGACTCTAGCAAACAGCAAACAACTTTTCAGATCTCTGCGCAATCGACTTTGCCGACCATCGCATATCGGAATTATCGTCCTCAAAATCTGAAGCCAAATTGACCATAAAGCGAGTGGTGGGACTGGTTCAAGAGGCGGTGGCCTATCCATTTTATTCCGCTCTTTGCGGGCAGGATGGCTAGCCCGTTCAATCCTTCAGCCGGCCGCGGCCATAGGGGAGGCGCGCCAGGCGTGCAAAGCTCAACGGGGCGGGGAAGAGGTGGACCCACGTCAACATATGTGCCGAGAGGGGCAGGTGCGCCTCGCGCAACAAGGGCTCGAGGGCGTGGACGAGGGTCGATGACATGGACGGCTCGTGGCCGTGGCCGCGGCGCAGGCGCTGCAACCCACACCGTGAATGGATCCCAACAACCTGCAGAGGGCCCCAACCCTGGTGTTGTCAACTCGCCCTTTGGGCAACCGAATCAACAGAAATCTGTTGCGTCGCCGTTTGGCGCTCAGCCTGCTCAACAGTCTCCGTTTTCCAAAGTCTCAAACAATGCTTCGGCTTCGAACGTCGCCAAAAACCCATTCGCCCAACCTACCAACGTCACGAAACAACAATCCTCGGCGAAATTTGTTGGCGGGGGATCTAATGTTGCGGCATCCATGGAGCATGCATCGACGTTGAGCAATTACCAGGATCGCTTTGACAAAGTCAGTCTGCCCTTCTTCGAAAACGGATAACAAGACCACGGAACTGGAGCTGACCAAATCTGCAGCTAAAAATCGATCAAGTGAGACAGCGTGAACGGGCGATCAAGGATGGGCAAATGGCAGACCCGAACCAGCCGACTTCTTTGAAGCAGGCTATCACACCAGTGGGTACCTGCACCGGCATGTGTCCCGATTTCGAGAGGGTGGAGCGGATCGTGCAGAAAGCAGTCGACAAGTGTGAAAAGGTAATGATGCGCCAGTTGCTATTTTGGGCGCCACGCTGACACGTAACTTTAGTATTATAATCCGGCAACGAATCAGCTGGAAATCATGGAAACCAAGATGGTGAAGCGCTTCCGGCGTGCGGCAGCTGGAAATGACGAGCAATTGCCCTCGGATATCCGGACGCCAAAGACACTTTTACAAACCATGAACTATCTCATCCGTTATGTTATCAACGGTGGTGAACCGTTGGCTGTCATCCACATGTTTGTCTGGAACCGAACACGATCAATCCGGAACGACTTCTCGGTGCAGCAACTTACCCAAGAAGAAGACGTAAAGACAGCGGTCATCTGTCTAGAAAGAATTGCGCGTTTCCATATTGTGTCCCTGCATCTTCTTTCCAACCCGGCGAACACGGAGCAATTCGACCGTCACCAGGAGCGTGAGCAACTCAACAACACCATGCTCTCTCTCATGTACTACTATGATGACAATCGTGAGCGCATTCACTTCCCCAACGAGGACGAGTTCCGCGCCTACCACATCCTGTTCTCGATCCACGACCAGCGGCCTGACCTGGAAGCACGTGTCCAGAAATGGCCACCTGCCCTACTCGCTTCCCCTCGAGTTCAGGTCGCATTGGAACTCTTTGCTGCTGCCTGTAATACATGGGAGCCTCAGGGTGCGCTGGATTCTCGCCGGCCGAACGCAGTTGCTCAGGGATTCTACACTCGCTTCTTCAACATTATCAATTCCCCGAGTGTGTCGTATCTGATGGCCTGTGTGGCTGAGGTGTACTTCAACCATATTCGTCAGACAGCAATCCGTGCAATCTGGAAAGCCTATTGCCGAACTCCGCTGTCACAGCAATCCAAGAACGACCATTGGACTGTGGAGGAATTAACCAAGGTGTTGCACTTTGATGACGACGAGCAGACAATTGAATATTGCAATGCACAGGGCTTACAGTTTGTGGAGAATGCGAGTGGTGGACTTTATCTCAATTGGGGTGATCGACCAGTAGACTCTGTCGGTAAGTGATCTTAAACAACTTCACCTCAGCCAGATCTCGTTTCCCTTCATTTCCAATCCCACCCCTCTCCGTCACCCCTACTTCGTGATACCTTCCATCCCATTTCCTTCTCTTTCTTTGTTTTCTGACTAACAATTCCCCAGACTTTGTACCCTCATCTGACCACTCTTTCTCTGAGACCTACGTGGAGTCGAAGCGCGCAGGACGTAGTCTTGTTGCCATCATTCTCGGCATGAACATCAGAGAAGCCGCAAGAATGGGCATGATAGATCGCTCCCAGTTGCCCGAAAAGAGTGAAACCCTGCCTGAGGCTGATGCAGAAGATGGGGATCTCTTCGTGAGTGATATTGATAATCAGACACCCGCACCTGTGGTTGAAACACCCAACGCCCTTCTTCAGGACACAACTGCTTCTGAATTCCGGATCGCTTCAGAGTCCCAAAAATCTTTACAATCTACTCCTGCAAGTTCGCCTTCCCTCTTCCAGTCAAATATACCACCCGCCACTTCAAAGCCGCCAAATCCTTTCGCGGCGCCCTTCCAGCCATCTAAAATAGCATCTCCTCCCTCAAATCCATTCGGAACTTCGATCCCCTCGACCACTGTTACGCCCGCAGTGCCGTCCCCTTTCACTTCTTCGCCAAATCCATTCTCGTTTCCAAAGGAACCCGAAAAGACCGACGCCTCTGCCCTAACCACTACGCCCTCGCTCTTCCAGGCAAAATTCCCTCCTTCTCAGCCTGACGCCGCCGGCAAGCCAGCTATCTCATCTTTTAGCCCCGCCGGGCCCTCATCGTCCGCTTTCGCATCTACTTCTTCTGCTTCGTCCATATTCTCAAAGCCAACGTACGCAAAACTCGAGACGGAGACACCTGCAGGAACTTCTCCCGCGCCTGCGTCCCTAAAGCCTGGTCTCTTCTCTCCTGCATCGTCAACTGCAGACAACCCCGCTTCCGTTTTCCAGAATGGCTCCAATTCTGTGCTATCCTCTGGTTCGAGTCCTTTCACAGCGCCATCTCCGTTCTCCTTCTCCAAGCCATCAGAACAGACCCAGAAGACAGAGACTCCTGCTCAGTCTACGCTGTTCAAGCCCAGCACTTCGCCTCATGCGGCATCGGCTGTGGACAACCCCACCTCTGTTTTCTCTTCTGGCGCTGGTGCTTTCACTGCGCCGTCCCCATTCTCCTTCTCTAAGCCATCGGAGCCAACTCAGAAAACAGAAACGCCAGCGCCAGTTCCTACCGCGCCATCTACGCTGTTCAAGCCCAGCCCCTCGCCTCCTGCATCGTTGACTGAATCCAAGAACCCATTTGCGCCTTCGGTATTCTCTGGTGCCAACCCCTTTGGTCCCACTAATACCTCTGCTCAGTCTACAGTGTCCAAGAGTGATTCCAAAGCCCAGCAAACAACGGTTGCATCGAACAATCCATTTGCGCTTCCGAACGCTCCGTCATCTTTCCCAGCTGTGGGTCTGGGAAACACTGTTACCCCTGCTGCTCCATCTCCATTCCACGCACTCAAAGCCCCAGAGACAGCTGTCAAAGCCAAGGAACCTGCGTCGGGCTTCGGGCAGCCCTTCTCGCCGTTCTCTGTGAACAATGCTAGCACTATCTCAGGGTCTTCGAACGCGGCTGCAAGCCAATTTCCAGTCCCCAGCTCAGTCTTTGCAGCTCCCAAGGCACCGCAGCCAAGCCAGAAAGCGGACATCCCAGCCGCTACTGCCCCCATGCCCGAGAATCCACCGTTGGGTTTGTCCCCGTCTTTGGGTAGTCTACAGTCGCCCAAGCCGAGTGAAACATCAGTGTTCAGTCAGTCCGCACCTGCACAGGCCCAAATACCTGGCCCGCCTCCCACAAACGGCTCCGCTTCTATTTCGGGCACGCGTCGATCTGTCTCGCACACTCAAGCGACCGCCTCTTCGCCTCCCCGGACTCTCTTTGAAGCACTTCGGCAGCCTAAAATATTTGACACCACATCAAATGCATACTCACCTGAAACGGCAACTAATCAGCCCCGAGCACCCTTGTTCCAAATCCCAGAACCCTCAGTGGCTCCAGGACAGCAAGGGGCATTGAAACGACAGCATGAGGCCACCGGTGCAGATGTATCCCACCAGCACAAGAGGCGCTCTTCGCTGAAAGGAAAAGCTCCCGCTGCAGCGGCTGATGGATCATTCAAACGGTCCGTTCACTTTGAAGAGGAAGAGCCTCTGCCACAGGAGTCACAAGTGTCTCCAGTGCACAAGAAGTCTAAAGGCCTTAAGAAGAAACGAGCAATGGATGAGCAGACTGAGCCCCAGCCGGAGGAACATGGTCCGAGTACCAAGGTGCCCAAGGTTTCCACAGAGGACGAATATGTCCCTTTCAACTTCTCCGTCTATAAAGCAGAAAACCGTCCTATGCCGAAGCTCCCGATCTTGGAAAAGCTGGAAGAAAAGCTTGCACGCGCTAAGGCCTTGTGCGAGCCAAAGCGCCTTACCGAAGAACAACTCCAGTACATCGAGGAAGCTCGACTGAAACGGGCTCGCCAAGTCGACGAGGACGAGATTGCCCTCTCTCGGGCCCGGATCTTGGCTGAGAAGCTGAGAACTGGCCCTGGAATCTTCGACGGTTGGACTGGAAATATCCGAGAGCCATGGCACGACCCAAACTGGAATCCCGTCGCCCGGATCGCGGAAAAGTATCGCACCCGAAAAATCCCCCAACCAACTTCCTATGTACCCCCGCGTCTGACACTCAATCGCACTGCCAGAGGATACGAGGTCGCTTACGCTCCTGATACCCCGGACCGACCTATGTCCCGCACTGAGGAGCGAATTAGACGCACTGGTGCCCGTGGACTTGCACATGTGCCCCTGGATTTCGAACGTCATAGGCGAGAGAAAGAGGAGATGGCTAAGAGCAAGAACGGAGTGAAGGAGAATAACGGCAAAGACAAGAAGGACGAGGAAGAGAAAGACGTGTCTTCCAAGAGCGTTTGAGGAGATGTACTACGCTTTCTTTATTCTCCATATTGTGATTATCTCATGGTGTATCTCGCACATTTATTCCCCTCTCATATGGGCCATGGATATGAGTACCCGCTTACTCTCTATGCCCATCTCATGTTTGCATTTTGTGGAGTCGTGTTCAATGATATCTTACTTTTCCCCAGTGGACATTCGCAGCGAAATTTTATTCATCTTTCAATTACTTTCTTTTTCTACTTATATACCCGCCTGAGTGATAAAAAAGGCGTCCGGTTACGACGAGATATAGTGGCATATCGGGGCTTCCGCCTGGGAGACAATGTACAACTACATTTACAAATATGTTATAGATCCTAACTATCTATGGTGAATACTCCAAACGTCGCAAGTTAGATATTGAAAAGTTGTTTTGTAGGAACTATGCTTTTCGCCGTTGTTCTACATGGTTTTACCATTTTACTACTCGTCTCTACACATTCACCAACCCCTTTTATTTGAACGACTAGTCAATTGTGTTGGCTGTCAGATGTATATAGCAAGAAAATCAAACTGTTTCCAAAAAGAAACTTCGACTTGCAGTAGACATACGGACGGAAAAAAGTGATATGGATATGATGATGAGACCGGCATAAACGTCAAACTTTTAGCGGATGACGGTATATACTATTCATTTGATCATTGACTTTTCACTTGGACGACATTCAATACTATTTATGTAGATATGTATACTATTTATGTAGATATAAGTACTAGGTAGAATATCGTACCTGCCAAACAGAAAAGTAAACAGGATGTCTTGATTGCGTAAGGCAAACACCACCTCATTAAGCATACTCTCCAGGTTAGACTAGATCGTTACAACTACCCAAACCTTCAATCATGTCTACCCTCAGTGACCTCCTCAGTCGACAACCGCCCACGCCATGGGAACAATTCCTAGCTCAACCTTGTGTCTTCCTTGCGCAGAAGCTGTACACTTGGCATCAAACCATCCCCGCAAAACCACTCACAAATCCTATTACTATCGTCTGCATCTCCGATACTCACAACCGTCAACCCAGCCTCCCCGATGGAGACATTCTCATCCACTCTGGTGATCTCACACAGCCTGGCTCATTGAAGGAGCTCCAGGCAACACTCAACTGGTTACACGCCCAGCCCCATCGCACCAAAATAGTTGTTGCCGGTAATCACGATATGTTACTCGACACAGCGCGCGATGACTCAGAACAAGCTGTCTCTGAGCGGGCTCAGCTTGACTGGGGTGAAATTGTTTATCTAGAAAACGAGGAGACTACCGTGTCCTGCGCAAATGGTCGCCAGCTTAGGATTTATGGAAGCCCTCTTACTCCGCGCTATGGTAACTGGGCCTTCCAGTATCCTCGCAATCAAGACGTATGGACTGGGTCGGTGCCTGACGGGATTGATATGCTAATCACTCATGGTCCGCCACGTGCTCATCTTGACTTGCTGAATCTGGGCTGTGCCCACCTACTACGGGAGTTATGGAGAGTCAAGCCTAGGTTACATGTGTTTGGACATGTTCATGCGGGTGCAGGCACCGAATGGATCCTATTCGATAAGCTCCAGGAGGCGTTTGAGCGCACTGTCATTGCTAAAGGGGGTATTTGGAATCTTATTTCTACGATTCGCGAGTCTCTCAAGGCGTGTTTCAATCCGAGTGTGGAGGCAAAATGTTTACTTGTGAATTCGGCTATTGTTGCAGGTTTGCGAGATGATGAACGGAGACGGCCCATCAAGGTTATCATTTGATGTTGCAGGGCCTTGAACTTACTGTATGTTTAGCTCGTCACTGATTCAGGTAAAAGAGATATGGCATCCTTTTGATCACTTCTTTTCGTCCCTTTTTTTTTAACCTTTCCTTTGGATTGGCTAGCATCTATACTTGTATGGTCTGTTTGGCAGATGATACATCTCTGTTATCTTTGGTGGCCTCGTGCTAGATATCACTTTCCTGTCGTCATATTTCCATCATTGTTGGTTTATAGATCAGCCAGCCGGTATAATGTTGCAAGCAGTAATGATACATACCTTGGAAAAAGGCACGCGTCCCTTGCTAGATATCAAGTAGGTACTCATCACTTTCCGGTAGCCTCACAAGACTTTTTTTTAAACCTCCCCACGAACTTATATCAGATTATGATAGAATAGTAGGGAGAGCACGAGAGGAAGAGGCGGAAAGCGAGGCGGTGAATTGGTATGCCCAGCCAATAATAACACCCGTCTGTCCAGCATACCGCTACATCGATGTACACCAATGTATATCCTCCCATATGAGAGCGTCACTAGGCCTGCGAAGCTCTTGGGACCACATCTTAGTAGCAATTCAACCACGGGATTAATTTGCTCCTGGCTGCATCCAAAGTTCACGGTCCCCTTCCAAAAGCGCTTCATGGCTGTTTCTTCGAACAATCACGCCAGCATACCATGGCACGCTCTTTCAAGATGATCGCGCAGCCTGTCCACCTTTTGACCTCATCTCGACCCTCGATTCTAGTTTGCCGATCCCTTTGGCGTCGAAAACTCGACTCGGTGTCTTTCGTGCGTCTATGCACCACAAGGGCCGAGAAACATCACGTCAAGTATGACTGGATCGAGGGTGTAGAGAGACTTGAAGAATATCAACCTGGGGGGTATCACCCCATCATGATTGGGGACGTGTTACATGGCCGTTATCGCATCGCAGACAAACTGGGCTTTGGGGGCTATTCGACGGTTTGGCTTGCCCGAGATACTTATCTGAACCGATATGTTACTCTCAAGGTCAGCGTGGCTAACTCGATCCAACACGAGACTAAAGTCCTTAAAGCTCTATCTTCTCCGTCTCCATCGTCTTCGCCAGAACATCCTGGGCGTGACTTAGTACCTGTTTTCCTAGATGAATTCAAAGTGCAAGGTCCTAATGGGAAACATACATGCTATACGGTGGCCCCTGCACAATGCAACCTTAAAGAGGTCTCTTTCAGCCGTCTTTTCCCCAAGGAAGTTGCTCGAGCACTATCATATCGACTCGCACAGGCCGTTGCTTATATACATTCACAAGGCTATGTTCATGGAGGTTTGTTATGACTATGACTATCTATTTAAACCCTAGTTTGCTAATGTTCAATAACTTTAATCTAGATATTCATTTAAATAACATTTTGTTCAAGCTCCCGTCAAGTTTCGATGAGCTTTCTATCCAGCAATTCTATGGAAGATTCGGTGAACCCGAGACAGTTCCCGTCACACGGTGTGACGGAGAACCATTACCTCCCAATGCTCCAGCGAAAGCTGTTGTGCCGCTATTTATAGGGAAATCTGCGGAGGAGTTCGCATTATCCGACGCGCACCCGCTTGTAACTGACTTTGGTGAGGCGTTTTCCCCCGCTTCCGAAGCTCGTCTTGGGCATGACTGTCATACGCCAAACGCGTTTCGGGCTCCAGAAGCCAAGTTCGAATCGCAAATGCCGCTGTCATATCCCTCAGATATCTGGAGTCTGGCTACAGCAATATGGGAGATTATCGGAATGAAGGCCATATTTAGCACCGATTTTGTGGATGAGGATCAGATAGCGGCTCAGCAGGTCGATGTACTAGGACCTATGCCCTCGGAATGGTGGCAGCGCTGGGAAGCACGATCTCGATTTTTCGATGAGTATGGACATCCAATGGAGTCCTATAAGATGAATAAATGGCCTCCACTTGAGGAATCATTTGAGATCGGTGTGCAGAAATGGAGATGGAAGATGGGAGGGGAGATTGAGGAAGACGAGAAAGCTGCGTTTCTAGATCTGATGCGCCGGATGCTCTCATTCCGCCCAGAAGAGCGACCGACTGCTGAAGAGGTGCTCATGTCGGATTGGATGGTTAAATGGGCATTACCTGATTGTCAACGGAAATAAAAGCATTCGCATTTTCTTTTGTTTAAAACTCAACATCTATGTACCAATAGTCACATCATAAGGACATGCATAGTTCAATATGACGGTGTATGACCTAAGTGCATCGGCTATTGGTGTGATATTTATGCTTTTCATAGTCCATATAGCTCTACTATCCATGAATTTACTCTATAGATCTGAGATTGAAGAATCCAGTTGAAATCTGTGGATATTGCAATGCTTGTACTGGTGAATCTTAGAAGCCGAGGGATATTCACCCCTGAGGCATCAACTTTCATATGACCCGCGACCCAAAATATCGTCCTGTCAAACCACAACCATACCCCGAAAATAATTGCTCTTAAATTGGACTCGAAAATCACATATCAATAATAATCTTGGGTATATTGGGATATAGTTCAAGGATTCTGACCCGCCCGTCATCATTCTGGCAAAAATCCTGCCCCGCTGTGTCCGTGTTTGGACCAGAAGACACGCGCTGCATACCTCGACCACGTCAACACCATTGACTTCAAACTCATCTCTTACAAGATTCACCAAGGAACTTCCTATAACACAACACGTGTCACTTCTTAACTTAAGAAACTTCTCAACCTCGCCATCTCACAAGATGAGGATTGCAACCCTTCAATTCGCGCCGAAGCTGGGCGATCTCAAAGGCAATATTGAGAAGGCAAATGCTTTGTTGAAGACTGGAAAGACTGTTTCTGTAGATGGAAAGGAGCTCGGAGTCGGAGTCGATCTGTTGAAGCCTGATATCTTAGTGCTGCCTGAGTTGGCGATGACGGGTACGTACCTTCCTAACAAACTGTCCAGCGTGTATTGCTCCAGTCTCTACGGAGTAGAATTTAGTTCAATTTGTGGGAGATTTTCACTGGCTAATACAAACTAGGCTATAACTTCCCGTCTTTGGAAGCAATCAAGCCATATCTTGAGCCAGCTGGTGATGGCCCCTCTGCCTCGTGGGCGCGCGAAACTGCCAGACGTCTGCGATGCAAGGTTTGCGTGGGGTACCCGGAGATTGAGAAGGATTCTCAAAATCCCGACAGAGTTACGTACTATAACTCACTTCTTGTTGTCGACGAGAACGGGGAGTTCGTCCTCAACTACCGCAAAAGCTTCTTGTATTACACCGACGAAACATGGGCGGCCGAAGGTCAAGTTGAGCGAGGGTTCCATGAGCTTGAATTCGATTCCCAAGGCACTCTATCTTCCTTGACAAACCCGGTACACCAGGGTGAGCAGGTTTTATCTGAGAAAAAGCGGGTCGCGACTTCGCTCGGCATCTGCATGGATATCAATCCGTACAAGTTTGAGGCGCCATTCACCGAGTGGGAATTTGCAACTCGAGTCCTTGACTCCAAGTCCCAGCTTGTCATTCTGTCCATGGCCTGGTTGACTACTCTGAGCCGGGAAGAGCTCGATGCCTTGAAGGATAAGCCCGAGATGGATACTTTCAACTATTGGCTTCAGCGATTCTGGCCCCTGTTGCAAAAGAGAATGGAACATGAAGTGGATCTTGATGGCGGAAAGGCGGCAGATTCTCCGAAGAAGATCGTCATCGTCTTTTCTAATCGGTCGGGCGAAGAGCCACCGACAGAGGGTACCAAGCCACCGGCGCGATATGCGGGGACAAGCACTATCATTGCTGTGACGCAACGGCCCACTCTTAATGCTGCGGAGAAGGATGCAGAGTCAGGTGCGCACACTCCTGATGAGGAAAGTGAGACAGAGGATGCGGGCATCCCATTCGACGTCAAGATACTTTGCTGGGACATGCTAGGCGCGGCAGAGGAGGGTATTTGTTTTGCGGATACTACGGCAGATCCACAAATGGTATTTGCACTCAAAAAGGCGTCCGAGTGAGGCGGCGCACTGGACGCGTCAGACTATTCCACAGATAATGCAGAGTCTATGAACAGGTCGAGGGTCTACCCTTGCGACCTGACATTAGAAATGGTATTTCGATCACCCGAGTTTCTGTGATACCTCCCAATCCCAGAATCTACACGGTGTATATTGCTCAGTGTTATGGCGATCCTCCCTACAAGAATGGAAACTCCATCGATTGCGACTGGCGCATCATGTGGAGGGGATCCGTGTGATAGAGGGCTCAAACGTGATGACATATAGATGAAGATCATCGAGATCGTCGCAATCTTCAGGCGGAAAGCTGAGATACTTAGCTTAATATCGCATCGGGTGGAATCCTGCGGTCTCATGATCATTCAGTCATCATGTTCATCAATATGCAGGCAAAGTACTAGGGAAGACCCTTTTAGATAGCCAATGCAACCCTTTGGAGACATGGTGGTGTGAAGGGTTTGGGGAATGCTAATTCAGGATGCTTAGTCTGAAACATGTGATTCTCCTCTTCCCCACTCCGATGAGGGATCAGAGGTAACCCGATGAGAACTGCGAACGATGTATCTTGTGAGCTAAGTGCATTGTAAAAAGAACTCGTGTTATATCATGATATAGACCGGTACGTCCACTACATGATGCACGACCTTGTTTCCCACTGCTACCACAGTCCTGGGATATTCCCCTATTGTATTTCCTGTATCAGTTGAAGGGGGTGTTCCATACACTAGTGGATCTAGCCTGATCACTTGCAGTGAAACAAGGATGATGGTCACTCCGGATCAATGCCGGGTATATTGTATGTAGTTATTAGGGCTCTAATGTGTCTAGACTACGCCCATATACTTGCTAATAGTGTAGATTTATGAAGCTCATTGTATCCGACGGTCTGATCACCCCCTCGTAGTGGGTAAATGGCACCTGTGATTGGCCCATAAGATACCACTACACGTGATCCAGGAATCCCTTCCCCGAGACCCGGCAGCCAATCAGAGACCAAGAAAGTAGGTGTGCAGCGTGTGCAGCAGAGGGGCACGGGATGGCTGCACATGACTTCCGATGGGAGATGGAGGCGTAGAATCCCCTGGGCCATTCAAGCATTTTAGTTGGTTATCTTCAGCTCCTGCTGTCGGTTTCTTTTTGGTTGTGTTTGCAAAATTGTCTAGACCTCCAGGGCTTCCAGGTGGCTCATTTGCGGCATGCGGTATGCTTACGTCAGTGTATATTTTTTGAATCGGAAAATCAGGTGACTTACTGCACTATTGGTCGTTCTGATCCACCGGATTCAGCGCGACTCCTCTTGACCACCTCCTTGCCACGTGAGCAATCCATCTTGAACTTGTCCGCTGCTCTACATCTTCCTAAAGAAACGCTTTTTCTTATTTCTAAATTTACCGCGAGGTAGATTGCTACGTTGCTTGTATACCTTCCTATCGGCTTCCTCAGATTTTCATCTTTCGCATTTTCGCATCCCAATTTCGAATTCGGGGTTTCGCAGACAACGTGACCTGCGTCTTGTTGTTGTCGGGCAGGTGACTTCCTGTCAGGTGATAAAGAGAGATCATCCCAAGGTACGGCTCCATCAATGCCCCATCTTCATCCAGATCCCCCCATGTTATTGCACCTCGCGTCGTGATGCTCACCGCAAGTGGTGCCCTTCACGATGCTGCCCCCCTGTGTGACCTCCGCTGCCTGCAAGCCATCATGACGCGTTCCTAATGTCTGCAACCCCGCGGATGTTTCGAGGCATCGCATTATATGTGATCGCTTGACAACGTCACTACCCCGTAGAACTATCCCCATGCATTGCCGCCCGCCAGAAAAACTCAACTGGCGATGGCCGAGTCTGACGTGATCGGCCTCTCCGGGATGCCTTACAAGCGCGTCGGATCCACGCGTCTGTTTACTTCGCGGGGTGCCTACTGATCTTCCCGAGAGGGACTTGATCTGCCAGGCACCAACTCACTGCAGGCTGCATTGACATCTCCAATCACATCCCGTTCTCTTGTTCTCTTATTTTCCGAGACTTGTTTCACCTCAATTTTTTCACTTACTGGCCACTAACCACCACCACGAATAGGACGATCAGCTTTAGGGCTCGGCATGTCTGATCCCAGCATGAATAGCCCAGATAACGGCTCGCATAAGCGCAAGAGAGACGGCTCCGAGGATTTAGGTCCCGACTCGCAACGTCTTAACCGCTCTTCCCACGGAAGCAACGGCAGCATGGATAACCAGCACAACTTCGGCCATGGAGGGCTCGGAAACTACGACCACGGACTTCCCAACACTGGGGCCGAACTCAACATTGATCAACAAATTCTTCAGCATGTCGGTCCACAGAATGGCCTGTCTGACGATAACGCGTTGACGGCCAATGCCAAAGCCGCCCTGGCTGCACATACTCCTCAACACAAGTACCCCCCTCCTCCGGATTCTGGTTTCGATGCGAGCAACCTCACCCAAGGGTTGTCCTTTGGCGATGAGATGAACCAGACTCCCATGGGTGGTGGTCACAACCACAATTCGACTGCTGCTGCGGTCTATGCCGCGCGTGAGGCTCAGAGTATGAACCAGAAGCCTACTGTTGGTTCTCCCGAATGGCACCAAATTCGCAAGAATAATCACAAAGAAGGTAAGAACCACTTTGCTGATCGAGTTTGTGTTTGCATATTGACCCCTTCCCCTAGTTGAACGTCGCCGCCGTGAAGCTATCAATGAAGGTATCAACCAGATTGCTCGTCTTGTGCCGAACTGCGATAAGAACAAGGGCGCGATCCTCCAACGTGCCATTGAATATATCTTACAGCTCCAGGAAGAAAAGAAGAACATTGACGAGCAATTTGAGAAGCACAGTCTGACCGCTAACCATGCTATCGCCGAGATTAGCGGCTCGAACTCCAAACTCAAAGGCGAGGTCGCCAGACGCAATAACATTGCCCTGAAGTGGCTGACGCGTTGCCGGGATGCCGGCCTGGACTTTGATGATTATGAGGAGTCAAAAGAGCTAGAGTCACTGGAGATGGATTAGGCTTATCATCCTTATTCTTCTACATGTGCTACGACTTGTTGTGTTTCTGGAGGTCAAGACTTGAACATACCCTCATCTCTCTGTTTTTCAAATCTGCTATTCTGCTGTCAACAGATATTTTCCCTTACTACCATGGATGTTTCCTCCAATCGATGTAACCTCACCACGAACTTCTCATTACCCCTCCCCCCCCCCTCTCCCCCTCGGTTTCCTCGCAATGCAGTCTGCCCCTAGCATTCTGAGTGTTACATTTCCCATTAGCTACCCTTACAACTTGTCCACGCAACTTCCTCTCCCGGTGTTGCTTACCCCCTTTGATCATTCTCTGCTCACACAAATTTGCGGTCTTTGTACGCTACTCGGGCTTTGTTCTTTTTTTCCTTTCCTTTCTTTTATTCTTTCCTTCTTTCCTTCTTTCTTTCTTTCATCATTAATGGATTGTGGGCTGGCGAATCTACGGCTGGGATGGTTTTACCTTGGAATGGAGCTGCGGGTTGATAAGTCCTTTTTTTGAAACTACTTTATTATATCTCTTCCTAGACTCGTCCTTGTAGGAGTTATGTATCTAGGCGTGTGTCGACTTTCAGCAAGTGACAGCATAGGCAGATGGCGTAGATTGGAATATCCCCCTTGCGTCGGGGTGAGATCCTCGCAATGATGACCCCCGACCTCGGGAGCTCCCGAGCCCAGGTCACGGATTCTCGCCCGAGGACCTAAGGAAGAGCCTCGGAATTTTACGGTTGGAGGGTCGCATAGATTTGCCATGTTGAATGAACAATCTTTGTAGGGGAATGTATTAAGTAGTCTCTAAATATCATACCTCGAAAGCTTTGCTTTGTGTCTCCTGCGTGAAACATTGAAGTCCCAGCCCAGATCATTATACAAGGGTACAAACGAGGCATGTTTTTTTAACGCCTTCGCATACCTCTAAAAGACCAGGTAAAAAGACCAGGTAAAAAGACATCACTAGGCCGCATAAGCAACGGATTATTGTTTCAAGTGATTTTGATAATGGGCATTTGCTGTTATTCTCGATACTAGACAGGCCTGGCATAACCACCGAAACAAATATCGAAATAGATAATTATACATAAAGGATATAGTTATGTAGAATTGCAAAGTAATGGAATATTTTAATTACTTAGGATAGAAAGGTTTTAGGTATGCCCAGGGTTACATCATTAAATGGCCATTGCCTATACATGTAGCCCTAAAAGTAGAACTACAAGTTTTTATGTCCCTCCATAAGGCGTCATTGAAGTTTAGTTTAGTTCTGACAAGCCAATACAATTGTATACAACCTATAATCCACTGACTCACGGACGTGCGGAGATAACACAGCCCTGATCAGCTTATGAGGCTACCCCTCTATGATGTCAACGAGCCAGCTCATCTTTCCTTTCTACTTAATCCCATGTACTTCCCAAGCTTCCTCTAACTTTCTTACTATAAACTACATTTCCACTATTCCAACATGTCTTCCTATATTGTGAGTAAATAACTCAACAAATACACACATCATTGCTAACCCTCTTAGATCACGTGCAAGCCCGACGCAACCGACGACCAGGTTCAGGCGTATGCATCTGAGGTCCATATTGGAGATACACTATACTAATACGTATATGTCTTTTAGCGTTAAGGACCACGCTAAGGAGCAAGGTGGCACTATTGGACACGAGTACTCGCTGATCAAGGGCTTTGCGTAAGTTGTTACGACACTATCGGTCTGGTTCTAGAGTAAGATGGCTAATTCTCGATCTTGTTGATAGTGTTTCTTTCCCCGAGGATACGGTTCACAGTCTCGACTCACACCCGCACGTGGAGCATGTCGAGGCCGATCAGGAAGTGAAGACGCAGTAATCATCTGCCAGATGCGAGACTCTACAGACAGCATACATAGCGAGAGGACAGATTCGTTAGCGTGTTGCATCATACCCTATTTGGGTTGTGAGGTATACAACTGAGTCTTTTACCAGCCAGTACGAATTTACGAAAGAGAGCCAGTGACTTATATATTTTGAAGAAAGAGAGTAACCTTGTAGATCGACATTGCTATGGATCAGTTCCGTTGCAATGGACTATATAATCTCCAACATGGGAGTCCCCTCACCAAACCACCTCCATAAATATTATCAACAGAAGAAAATAAATATACAACCCCTCCCTTCAACGAGAAATTTACAAGTTCGATCCAGCAGTGACCTCATTGCCGGAGCTAACCCCGACATCCTTAACGATAACAGTCTTGCCACTGGCACCGGTAATCCGCACATCAACAGTGCTAGTGCCGAATCCAGCACTGTTCTCGAAGAAGTTGTAGTAAGTGCGGGTGGTGCTCTTCCATGAGCTACCGCCATCAGTGCTAACCTCCAACGCAGTCACAGCCTCGTTGGCATTAACAACCTGCATCGAGAACCAGTAGGCGGATGTGCCCTCCTTGTTCTTGAGCTTCAGAGGTCCATCAAGATCACATGAGACATATGACCAGGTGGTGGGGATGATACCGGCGGAGATGTCAGAGAGCTCGGCGAAGGCGTCTTGGAAGAGATCGAGGTGGTTGCTTTCGCATTCGGGGCATTGGTCGACGATCTGGTTTGTGTTAGAATTTGGATGGGATGGACTGGAATGGAATGAGATGGGAGAAGGGAAGCTTGACTTACCATTGCCTTGATGGAGTTACCCTTAGGTCCGGTGACGGATACACAGGCACCGCAGTTGGCGGCATCGTCCCATCGCTGGAGGGAGAGGGCCGTGCCGAAGAGGTTGCTTGGGAGGGTGTATCCGGAGAACGAGCAAGTTCCGCCGCCGACGTTGCCGCCGTAGAAGGTGGCCTTACCGGCGAATCCACTGGAGGAAGCGGCAGAGGTAGATTTGTTGGAAGTAGATACGGTGGAAGCGGAGGAAGTAGCAGAGCTGGTGGAAGTGCTGGCAACCTCAACGGGAGCTTGAGTGGTGGAAGTGCTGGCGACTTCGACGGGAGCTTGGGCTTGAGTGGTTGTCTGCGCGGCGGCGGTGGTCTCCACGGCTGGGGCAGCAATGGTCTTAATGACAGCGGCAGTCTCGGCTGACGAAGTGGGCAGAACGGCCACAACTGGAGCAGTCTTGACAACCGCGGCCTCGGCAGTAGAGGTCTCAACAGCAGAGGTCTCAACAGCAGAGGTCTCAACAGCAGAGGTCTCAACAGCAGGGGCTGAAGAGGTGGTAGTCTCGACTTGGACAACAGCGACGGGAGTCGTAGTCTCCACGGCAATGACAGTAGACGACGAGGCCACTGTGGGCTCAGCAGAGGATTCGGACTCGACAGTAACGGGAGTAGATGTCGAGGTAACTGTAGACGCCACAGAGGTCGCAGTTGGGTATGTTTCCACAGTCACAGTCTTGTAGTAGACGCTCATAGTGTAGCCCTTGGGGCAGTATCCGTCATGTTCGCGGGCGCCCAATGGGCCGGCGGAAACAGTAGCAGCACTAACAAGAGCGGCCACAGAGGCTAGGCGAAGATACTTCATTGTTGGATATGTAGATGGAAGTAAATAATGAAGGTTTGTGTAAGACAAGATATCGAATATCGAATATCGAATGAATGAACGAAAGTCACAGATTGACTCTTAAGGATAGGACGTGCAGGTGCACAAAAGAATGGACGTCTGGATAACGAATGCCAGATTCGAAACAATTACTGTTCCAGACAGGAAGGTAGTGCAAAGGAAGCAAAAGAATGTATGAAAAGTGAGAGAGAAAAGATGGGACGGGGGTGTGATATAAGAGTCTAGGCGCCGTGAGAAGGGTCATACTCCTGCATATGGCTTGATAAACTAGTAATTTGTTCATTTCACAGGTAAAGAACTAAAGAACTACACTCTAAAGGTGAAACATGGCGTGTGTCCCTCAGCCAGTGTGAATCTTCCGGAGAAGCCGAAAAGGGCGATTGATCCATTGTGCTATGCCGAGTTAGGGCTAGTGGGGGTTGTTTAAATTAAAGAGGGAAAAAAGAGGAAATGACAGTGAGTCAAGATAAAATGAGATTCTGTTTTCGGCTATTAGTGGATTTACTAGCTAAAAAGGAACCGGATCGAAGAACTACTCCTTAGATTATACGGAGTACTAAGTACGGAGTAAAGAACAGGACTACCGAGCATCCCACATAATCTCGTTCAGCCTCAGTAGCGCATCCGCACTGGCCTTTTTCGCCGACATAAACTCCTCTCGGCTCTCCGCCCCACGTGGACCACGGAGAATTTCAGAGAAGCATAGATCTACGAGAACACGCAGCTCCTCATAGGTAAATGGCTCGCCGTTTCCAGCAGCCAAGGCCTTGTCGCCTTGCGATGCAAAAGCCTCCTTCTCTTCCTGAGCGTAGTCCAGGGTCCTCTCGGCGCCTTCTAGGAACCAGTCCAGGAACTTTGCGCTACGTGGTAGGGCAACGATTTCTTGAGAAGCCTGCGCGTGTAAATCTGTCGCTGAATCCGATGCTTCACCAGCTGGATCGATGATGATGTTCTTCAAGTTTTGTTGGAGAACAAGCACATCAAGCTGTAGTCGCAGCGCTCCATTCTCGTTCATGGCCCCGATATACTGGGTGCAAGCGACAAAGACCCGATCGATAAACCGTGCCAGGCCCGATGTAATGAACCAACGCTCAACAGACCCGAGATACGTCGAGATGTTGGTGTCGAATGCGATGAGATCATTGTTAAGTGCGAGAATTGTCGGTGATGCAGCGGTAGGTTGGTTCATGATAATATGCCACCAGTTGTGTGTTATGTTTGGGGATGGAGTGATGGGTTCGGAGTTCCGCAAGTTAGGAGGATTCGGCCCGGCCATTGTTTTAGTCAACATGTGGATGATGCCACAGCGGATGTCAACATGCATCGTCAGAAGTGCAGTATCCCCAAGCCGGTGCAATGATTGGAGCGTCCCATCAAAGGCCACGGCAGTCTCGTGGTTGAGTGGCAAATGCACCGGAGTATTGATGCTATCGCGATTGGGCTTCATGGACCCGAACAGAGTCCATCTACGAGACGGCCGGCCAGTTGCAGTCAAACTGGATGACTCGGCATCCGCTGTATGTTCAACCACAAGTCGAATTCTCGCGAGGTGACTTGCAAGCCATTGCATGCTGTTGTACAAGAGCGAAAGGGAAATGACGGTTTTCGGGTCAGATATGATGTCGTAAGGCTCCAATGGCACTTGCCCCGTTCGCTTGAGAAGAAGATCGATTTCTGTATCAATCAGGGTCTGTTTCTTTTCCCCGGCATTTTTCCACAGTTCATCCACAACATCATGGATGTCGCCTGTTTCAGCAAAGGAAGCCGCAGCTTTCAGTCGGACTTCGCCTCCACGGTTCCGTGCAGAGACTTTCGTGACCATTGCTTTGTACCACCCACAGCACTTGTCATAATAGGTCACGATCTGGTCAATAAGAAGCTGCGTAAATGCTTGATCGTGTGGAATACTCGACAGCATTTTGCTAAACTCCCGAACAATGGACATGAATTTGATCGTTCCCTTGAAAATAGGCCGGGGAGAAGACTTGGCCCAATGGGGGTCTTCTGTAAACGCATCTGCGGAAATGAAGCTGAGCGTGCAAAGATCCGTCACTGTCTCATCCAACTGGGGTAGGAAGACGTTCACCATGAAGTCATCCAAAAAGGAGGTCAAAGTGCCCATGGAGATATCCGCATCAACAGGAACGATATCCTTGAGCCGCTGGATGAAGGATAGAGAGGGAGGAAGAAGGATTCCCATATTGAAAACACTTGGATCAAGCAAAATCTTATGCCCGGTCCCTGAGTTACCCTTATTAGATTGCGTGGTATCATTTGTTGCGGCCTTTTGCCTTGACTTAGAAACAAGTCCCGGGACTGAGGACTTGAGGATTTCATCCAGTTCGTCTTGTTCGGCTTTCATCTCAGAATTATGCTCGAAGTCGGACAGCTTGAACATTTTCTACAACGCAAAGGGTCAGCTACTTCAAAATAATGAAAATGACTGCTCTCCATACCTTATTCTTATCGCGGTTGCCTGTGTATAGATGGCGTCGAGACTCATTCTCTTCTGCTCTAGATCGAACAGAAGAGTCTCCATCGGTTGCAAGGTAGTCGTGCATGAGAGATCGTATCTGGCAAAATGAATTAGAAATCGTGATGCCAGTCAAAGCTGTTGGTATCTTACCTCGCTTTGTAGAAGTTTCCACAACTCCTTGAATCCCCCAGAAAGCGTCTCGCTTTTGGTTAAGCCTTCTCGTTGCACAATGGCCGCAACAACATCATGAAGAATCCGGTGGCCTTCCGCAATTGCCTCGAACTTGGCATATAGCGCCCATAAAAACTCAGAAAGCACGTGGCCTCGTTTTTCAATAATCTCAGTGGGGAGACTGGACTGTTTGTAGTTGTCTTGGGCCGAGAAGCTCTTGGTTGGCGCAGGATAACGAGTATCAACCTCTGCGTTGGTCTTATCTACCACGGCAAACAGTTCGACTGGAAGACGCTGCTCGATCTTATGAACCGCGACGTCAAGATGACCCATCTTGTTCAGGGCTTCGATCAATAACTGAATGTAGGAAAACGTATCAGCTTCCGGGTTCCGAGAGGCGTCTTCGACCATAGGCGTCAACGGATCGAACTTGGCCAGGAAACTATACACAGGCCGTTCCCAAGAGCGACTACCGGCCAAATTAGACGTATGAACCTCTTTTTCATCAGAGGTGGGTGGTTTCCATCTGTCTGAGCAATAGGGTGATTTAAGGTATAAATGGTCGTGCAACTCCTCGATCAGGATGTCTGTGAGTGATGTTTCCTGGTTTATGAAATAAGCGCGAATATCGGATAAAGCGCCGATGTCCTCCAGCTCCGAACGCCGTAGAACGCGGAGACCAGTATGAAGCACATCCACAGCTGCAAGGAATCGCTTGTCTGAAATCTGAGTTTCCAATTTTTCGGGAAGGGATTGAATTTCCTCAATCTGAGTGAACAGCTGTACGATATCATCGTAATTCTGAGAAGACGTTGCCAGTCCTTTCAACTCGGGCTTGGTCGATATTAACCCGGATTTGGCCTGATCCAGGGCATGCCTCAGGCTGCGCACTCGAGTTTGCGAGGAAGATATATTGGATTGGATTTTGTGGTATGTTCCAATAGAACTGTTGAATCCCTGATGGTGTTCTATGGCATACAATTTTAGCATATGTCTGTCCTAACCACTGCAGAGAGGACCTACCATTAACAATTGCCTTCAATGTCTTCTGAATGTCATTGTACATGTGCAAAAATTCCGGTTCACGATCTGCTTTGCCCAGTGTACTCGTGTCCATCAAACTCAAAGCGACATGTACTGGGACACACTCGGCATCAGTCATGAAATCCCAGTCGCGCTGGATAGACTGGAGAATCGCTGTAGAGGGTGGCCGGATTAGCGATTGGCCCAGACTAAGCAAAAAAAAAAGACATACTTTCAATCGCCTGGGGTTCCCCCGAGTCATTGCTCATATTAACCACAGGTGACGCATTCCTCTGGCTCCTGTGATCCCTTTGGTCTCTTTCGTCCCTGTTGTCCGCGTACCGACTTGCATCTCTAGACCGTTCTTCCCGGTACTTCCTGTCGGGTTCTTGATTCCTTGTGCGTGACCGCGAAGAGGGATGCGAAGAGGCTTGCGATGAGGGGTGGGATTGGGGTTGCGGAGAGGGATTCGAAGACGGTTGCGGAGAGGGTTGCTGCCAGTCGCGGTTTGTTCGATCGCGCCGCCGCTCGGGAGACTGGCTTGGCGCAGGAGATTGACCCGGCGGTAGAGCCGGCGGCTGAGGCGAGTCAGCGTAGAAACCACCGTATCCGCCGGGGCGACGTTCAGATCGTCCACCTCCGCCTGGTGGTGCGGCACTTCGTCCACCGTATCCGTTTACCCCAGGGTTGCTGTTTCCACCATATCCCCCATCATTGGTATCGTACCGGTCGGTACCGGAGTAGCCATACCCGTTGCCATAACCGTTTTGGCCGCTCATTGCCAATGATGCTTGCTAATCACGGGGTGTGTTCCGGTTCAGTATGGAAGCGTTGGTGGGCTGTGACAAGGGGCTGGCGTGGGGCTGTCAGCCAGAAAGATTCCGTCTTAGGTCCTGTGACTTGCGCGCGACAATTGGCGAGGACTTGCGAGCATTCTTGACTGTGAAATACAGGGGGCGCCGGAAGCATTCAGTGATGCCTTGGTGATAGTGTTGAAACAGACCGGGGCGGAGTGTCAGGCTCCACCAGAGCTTCCCGCATTCCATTCCACTGGCCAGTTGTCGATATACTAAGAAAAAGTTTACAATGTATACCATAGATCTCCATTACATCCTTCGTTGTGTTACTGTATTTCTTGCCAACTGAGCTTTGTTATTTGATCTCACTCTTAATTATTCATGTCTAGATACAGCATTGGAATGTTGCATATTCTAGGCTGTATTGTACATAATGCCGTCTAATCAATAGCAGTGGGAGGAGATATGTAGACCACGACCTATCAACACCGCAGACCACTTATTTGGAGATGGGCTGGGTCTCGCGCTCAAGCCACGAGCGTGTAAGATCGTCTTCCCGGAAGAAGTGCTCTGTCTTCGCCCAGATCTCAGCGTGGTAGTCATTAACCCACTTAATCTCAGCGTCGCTCAGAAGCGAGGGTTCAATCAAGTTGCGGCCAATAGGGGTCATCGTAACATGCTCAAAGCCTAGCCACTGCTTGTCACCAAAGTTGTGGGGGGTTTTAACTTCGCGAGCCATGACAATGTCTATAAAGAGAGGGATTAGTATTTTCTAATTGCAGTTATAGGCGGTAAAACTCACTCTCGATTCGAATACCAAATTTGCCGTCCTCGTAGTATCCGGGTTCTATGTCAGAGATTAGTTTCGAACTGCAATAAATAGAGGAAGAGGGACAAACCATCTGAAATGACGTTTCCGGCTGCAATGGGGACCTCGGTATACTGAACCCGAGTCCCGATGCCAATAGGACCCTCGTGGACATTCTATACTGAGATTAGCGAAGCATAAGATGTTTGGTCAGCGATAATACTCACCAGGTAGGAGCCAACGCCATGACCTGTTCCGTGAAGGTAGTCCAGGCCTTCCTTCCACAAGTGCTGGCGCGCCAGCACGTCAATTGCAAAGCCACTGGTTCCCTTGGGGAATACCGCCATGTCGATTCCAATGGTTCCCTTCAGCACCAAAGTGAAAGCACGCTTCTCGAACTCCGTGGGAACACCGAAGTGGAATGTTCTCGTGGTGTCGGTTGTTCCATCTAAGTATTGGCAACCGGAGTCGCAGAGATAGATGGCCTTGGGATCGATAATAGCACAGCTTCCTTTCTCGGGGCTATAGTGGATGACCGCACCGTTGGGCCCAGTCGAGGAGATGGTATCGAAGGAGAGACCGGCGAACAGCTGATGCTTAGAGCGGATCTTCTCCAATTTGTCAGCTCCGTCGACTTCGTCCAAGACAGTCTTCTTGTTGACGAGTTCATTCTCAAGCCAAGCAAAGTACTCGGTCAAGGCAGCACCATCACGGATATGGCAAGCCCGCATTCCTTCGAGCTCGACTTCATTCTTAACAGCCTTTGCATCCGCGACTGGGCTACGAGTCTCTTCGACCTGTCCCTCGCCACCAAGGCTAAGGCTGAGAGCCCAAGAAGCCTTGTTCGACAACAAAAATTTGGCGGCCTTCTCACCCGCAGACTGGCTTTGGGTGCTGAGGGCTTGGGCATCAGCAAAGATGGAATCGTATGGCTTGACGACAACATCTTGCCCAAAGTGAGCCTTGACCTCCGGAGTCAACTTGTCATCCTCGACGTAGATCTCAGCGGTGGTGGGCGTAATAACAGCATAGGAGAAAAACACAGGGTTGTAAGGAATACTGCACAGAGTCAGTCAATGTCTCAATGATGCATATCGGTAAAGAGACTGTTCTTACTCGGTTCCTCTCAGGTTGAATAGCCAAGCAATTTCATCGAGCATAGCTGCAATAAATTAGTCACTCTACAGGACCGGGATATGTGCGGGGCAGTCATACAAATGATGAATCCGGCCTTCTTCTTCGACTCAAGTTCCTTCCGCAGCTCGGCCACCTTTTCTTGGAATGCCTTGCCGGCATACTTCTCGGGATGAACGCGCACTTTTTCGCTGGGACGCGCGGGGCGTTCCTCGCCCCAAACCAAGTCGACCAAGTTCTCCCGGACCCCTACGAGAGATGAACCGCTCTTCTTAAGGGTCTCTGCCAACTTCCGTGCACCAGCTATTGAATATTAGCCCCACTATGCACTTCCACATCTGAAGTAACAACACTCACCCGCTGTGATCAGAGAGGGGTCAACACCCACAGCCTTGCCTCCTTGGGCCGCCTCCGTAGTCCTATCAACAAGATCAGTTCCCGTACAGATCATTCCCCGTGATTGTCATCTCGTACCATTCTTGCCATGTGGGCACGCCTTCGACTCCACCCTTCAAGAGCAGCCAGTTGGCATCCAGTTGTTTCGCGGCTTGGTTGAAGTACCGTCCATCAGTGGAAAGTGCGGCTTTGCTCAGCGAGATGATTGCAGTACCGGCCGAGCCAGAGAATCCCGAAATGAATTCTATGGAAATGTTAGCTAGCGGCGCGGGCAAACCAACGGAAGTGGGGCAATCGTTGACCTCGGCGGGCATCACATGGCGCAATGTATTCGGACTGGTGGCTGTCTTCTGAGGGCACAACTATACGAAGCTGGTAAGCATGACTCGAGGTTTAAGCAACCCATGGGGACATAGAGATGATGTCATACTGTAAACATCGACATTGTGCTGCTGCATCAACTGCCTCAGCTTTGACAGACGTTCAGAGGTATCCACGGCCCCCATGTCGACTGTGTAGCGTGGGCCGAAAACGGAGAAATATCTTGGGCGGGAGACAGGCCTTAGCGATCGCAAAGATGTCCAAAGGCGAGTTGGACGAGAGAGGAGCATGGACACTGATAGACTTCAAGAGATTCCTCTTCGACCTGTTAGCTTGTGAGAAGCTAAGCGAAGCAGGGATTAAAGGCGCCAGATAAGTGCCCGATAAGCTAATTCCGCAGGTCGTGTGGACTCCGTGTAAGTGGCCTTTTACCAGTAGAGAGGCTTCTGGTCATAGGGCGATCTCCGGAGTCGCGGCTACACGCGGCTCACTTTGTGTTGTCATGTTTGCACTCAATATTCAGTTAGTAATCGAGGGACCTTTTTAGAACAATGCACATTCACATTGTTTGTTTCAATTTTGTCTTCATATTTTTGGGAACTGATCTTATGTGGCTTTGAGAGTCATCAACAATGCTATTTATACTAATTCGTGTACAGCCTAACCCAAGCTTGATACTCTAAAAGCAATGATACTAGCGCCAATAGGATTTGTGGCTTGTTGCTCTATACAACATAGTACGGACTATGGAGAATGCATTATCAATGTCAAAGCCCAGATGAAGGCACTAGTCTCGGTAAGTAAAAGAAAGCTCAAATGAAGGAAGACTCAAGTGAAGAGAGCTGTTCATTGTGGTTGTTTTTTGAGTATAGAATCTAGATCCACTTTCTGGGTACAGCATGTAATATGTTGCACAGCTACGGAGTACAGTACTTGAAGATAATTCAGACTGGGTCACGTGCCTAGTAGCCAGTGAGCCCCGCCGTCACCGCTTCACAAACCGCCTTAACACTGATTGGCTAAGTGATGCAAACAATAGATTCTGCCCGTCATAGCCCCGTGCTTGTATATGTCACTTCTCTTTTTCATTTTCACAACCACGCGCTTGCTGAGACAAAATGGCAACCTGGATGTCTGACGATGGTCTTGGGGCCAGAGAGTCAATCTCAGAAGCCCATATTGTATGTGTGCCATATCTACCTCTAAGACCCAACGGCTAACAAAGAACCAGCTAGTCACCGAGCTCTATAACCCAGCGAACCAACGGGACCCCGCCAGAATTAATGAGATTCAGACGCGCCTGCAGCAACTCCAGAAGACTGAGAATGCATGGGCAATTGCTGATTCACTTCTGCAAAATGAACATTCTGCCCAGCATCGTTTCATGGGGGCCCTTACATTCACAGTGAAGATCAATGTCTCATGGTATGGTCAATCTCCCCGATCCACACCACTTCAACCTCATGCCGATGTGACGAATGATTGCTGATGTTGGATACCATTAGGAATGAAATAAACCAAAATTCGGCCACGGAGATCATGCAGCACCTGATCAATCGCTTTGTTGCTTTGGTAACCAATGGTGAACAAGCAATGGTTGTCAGAAAGCTTGCCTCAAGCTTGGTCGCCATTTTCAGGCACCCTGTCACACCATGGAAACAAGCTGTTTGGCAACTTGCTGCAAGCCTCGTTCACGGCGGATACGTATCCGAAGAACAATCACAAGCGGTGGATTTCCAGGAGCGGATATTGCCAGCTCTGAGCAAGAGTGGATCAGGTGCACTCCTGTTTTTCTCAATTGCGCTCGCCGAGGAGGCTCTCCGACTAGATTCCGAACCCCAGGACGGGACTGGAGACACCTCTGCTGTCCAGCGAGCCATACACAACATTAAGGATGGGTTACTCTTGGTTCAATTTGTCCTTGGGGAGATCATACAGCATGCAAAGACAGCTGGGGATGATGCGGTTGATGTGGCACTAGCGGCCGAAGCCATGAATTCATGGAAGGTGAGTTAATCTCGGTTTTTGGTACTTGCATCTTGAAGAACGCGACCACTGATTTAACTCCCCACCTCGCAGACATGGCTAGGTGTTCATGGAAATCGCCAACGCTCTTCTGCTGAAGATGTAAATGTCTTGTCTGTGCAATGTGGCCAGACCGTTATTGAGACATTGAGGGTACCCAGCTTGAGTGAGAGTGCAGCTTCTATTTTGACCCAAGCCTTTGAAAGCCGCCGCTGGGCGTTTGATGACAACTCATTGTGGCTTATCTCTGAAATTCTCGCCGATTCAATTGTAACGGTACATATCGCTGCCGTGAGGAGTGGCGACGAAGGAGCGGAGAGCATGTCATTTGTTGACCTTCTGATTGCATATGTCTCGCATTTGCACTTAGATATCTTCAGCGACCCAATGACCCCACAAAATGCAGCGATCCTCACACTTATCCACGGGATTTTCAAAACCCCTGGCTACGCTTCCATTGACGATCTGGGAACCCCACGTGTCTTGGAGTTCTGGAACGATATTGCAGAGAGTCTTCCTGATCAGCTTGAAGAAGGAAGCCCTAGGTATGACTTGGTGAAGTCACATCTAGCTGAAGTTGTCTTGGGACTTTCTAGCAAACTACTATATCCCAAGTCTGAAGATTTGGAAGACTGGGGCGAGGAAGAGCGGAGTGAATTCGGCGCCTTCCGTCATGAGGCATGTGATTACTTACTTTCCGCATACCCCGTCCTCGGTGTCGAACTGGTCACTGTCTTCCAGAGAAGCGCCACGTCCTGCCTGGAAAGTCGGGACTGGCGCAATTTTGAGACTGCCATGTTCTGTATAGCTCAACTCTCAGAAGCAGTGGATGAGAATGGCCACGCCGACCAGTGTCTCGACGCCATCTTTGGCAGCGATGCTTTCGCCAGGCTCTGCGCAGGCGGGGAGACCGAAATACCACTCAAGTCTCGTCAGACACTAGTGGATTCATTCGGAAAGTACGAATCATACTTTGAGCGCCATAGTTCATTACTTCCAGGAGTTCTTAACATCCTGTTCGAATCCCTCAACTTCGAGTTGTGTGCGCACGCAGCTTCAAGGTCTATATTGACCCTGTCAAAGTCCTGTGCTCGCGTCTTGACGTCAGATCTTCCTGCATTCTTAGATCAACTGGACCAGTTCAGAAGCAAGCCGACGGCAACTGTCTCCACCATGCCCAAGGTCCTGGAGGGGATTGCGACCATCATCCAGAGCTTGCCTAGTGACCAGGAAAAGGTACAAACGTTAGAGAGAATTCTCGGCTTCTTTGTTCAGGAGGCTAAGACAGCACGGGAAGAGGTTACCGGTCCTGCTCATGAATTTGGGCGTCTACGCGGACATCTTGTGCTGAGCTGCATTGCAAGTATCGGGAAAGGCCTTCGTTCAGAGAGCGAGGTCATTGATATCGAGCTTACAAAGGAAGGAAACCCATATCCTCCATCGTTCTGGAACTCTGGACCAGGCTCTGAAGCACAACGCCTGATTATGGAGGCCATGAGACTTTTGATTGTCGATTTCCCCGTGGACAGCAGCATCATTGAAGCAGCTTGCGACATTTTGAAAGCCGGCTACACTGAGCGGGCAGGGCTTTTCGTATTCCCGCCCTCTATGACAGTGGACTTCATCAAGAGCTTTCCCTTAGGCATCTCCGGGACAGACGTTATCATGGCGACCGCCTCGTCATTTCTGGCATCTCACGCTCGGCATGCGATGAACATTCGCAGTGAGGCAGAGGCGCTCATCGATCATGTAGCCCAGCTCTTCTCCTCGATGCTCCAAAATCCGGATGTGTACGACCCAGAGACCGCCAATGCCGGTATTGATTTCCTGACCCGCCTTTTACCCAAGTACTACCCGATATTGTTTACTCCCATGAAGTCAAATCTGAGCGCAGAGTCTCCTCTCGCTGTGCTTCTTCATTTCACGCTTCACGCATTGACACGACCTGAACCACTTCCTCTTAGAGCTGCGTCTGCATTCTGGGTTGCATTAATAGATCTCCGAGGCAGCTCTCCAGAAGAAATGAACATACTCGAATCAGTCCATCAGGAATTTATTCCACGCTTGTGTTACACAATCATTCAACAGATTGCAGGCCGATGTGCAAGATCGGACTTGGTCTCTCTCAATGATGCCCTGCGACGCACTATCTTCAAGAAGATGGCATTGACGCGCCCGGCTCTGAAGGCTGCACTCGACTCTTTGAACGCCCAGGTCACAGACGCAAACGGGCAACAAGTGCCGCTCCTGTCGGCGCAAGACAAGACGCGGTTCTTGGAGTCTCTCGCCATTGCTAGAGGTGGCCAGAAACTGTCTCTAGATCTTGTGCGTTCCTTCTGGTTGAAATGCCGTGGGATGAATTTCGATTATGCCCAGTGATGGAACTTGCGCATTGGTACACGACCTGATGATTGGAGTTGATGGGTCCTGCAACTTCGGTGTTCATTTAGATATCCATTTGCATGACATGGACGGTGCAGCTTGATTTAATCCTGCTTGAGATTTTATATTTACATCTACCTGATCGCTATAATTGAGAACTTTCTAAATTGTCGAGTACAACAAGGTATGGTTCGATCAATGAACATGCATACCTCGAACTAAAATGACTCGAAATAGAACTTCAAGGGACAATCTGACTAATGTTTTTAACCTTGGAACGTATTGCAGCATAGGCAGTATTCGACAAACGGTCCTATTCCTCGGAGAGGGCACCTAAGTGCCTCCCACGACTAGATCATAGCCTTCGGCTGACGTGAACGAATAAACAGTCTTTTGATTCTGAATTGCTCGTCTAATTATGATCCCCGAAATTGATATAAAAGTATAGCTTAATCGGCCTATAGCGAATAGATAAATCCAAGCAAGCTCCTGTCCATAGAGGGGTTTCTTAAGGCCTGAACATATATCCAAATAAAGCAGATCCTTTCAATCCACTGGCAGCTTGGCAGAGTGGTCTAATGCGATTGACTTGAAATCGATTCTCCTTGGAGGCGGCGTCAAATCCGCCAGCTGTCGTTTTTTGGCTCTTGATTCTTATATATTTCATAGTACGGAGACATAGTTGGATCTATATTGTAGATCCTCCCTTTGGAGTTGGGTCGGCGGAAAACAGGCTACCCGTAAGCGGCCAACCGGCTCATACATGCACACTCACACTAGTGCATACATGGTTGTGCCTTCTACTCCCTAACTATTGTATGGAGTTGCTCTATAAAAGATATTTAGTTTTAAAATTTGTGATCTGGTGAGAATTTGGTGTCTCCATGATTGCTTCAATCTAAGATGACTAAGTCGGTATGGCCGGGCGAGTGGTTAAGGCTACTTTCGAGGGGCTTTTTTATAAGTATCCTCTTGCAAAGTAATTCATTTGGTAAACCTAAGGTTGAGTCCTAGTGCTGACGTGTGACGCATCTGCTTTTGTCTAAGAATAAAACAAGATCAAAAGAAAGTTGTGGAGTGTGTTGATATAGTATATATAAAAGACATTAATTGACTTCGGATCCTAGTAGGTATTGCTAGCAACGAACATTGAAAGCAAGCCGAGCCCGGTATGTTACTATTTATACCATACCAATATCACCCTTCAAGAAGATTGGCTTCAAAATAACAAATGTATCAAATCGTATAATGTATGTCACATTAGACATATGCTCATGGCTCATGTACAAGAAATTTTTAGGACACAATGATTAAGGCTGAAACAAATGACACAAACCCATATTTACCAACCGCGGCCAGCCAACTTATCAGCCTCGGGCAAGTGCTTCACGTTGATACCAACCATGGCCTCACCGAGACCCTGGCTGACCTCAGCAAGCATCTTGGGGTCCTTGAAGTGAGTAACAGCCTGGACGATAGCGCGGGCACGCTTCTTAGCATCACCGGACTTGAAGATACCAGAGCCAACAAAGACACCATCGCAGCCCAGCTGCATCATAAGGGCGGCATCGGCAGGGGTGGCAACACCGCCAGCGGCGAAGTTAACAACGGGGAGACGACCGAGTTCAGCAGCCTGGCGAACAAGCTCGTAAGGAGCCTCAATCTCACGGGCAAATGCGCGGAGCTCAGGCTCGGGGTCCTGGCTAGCGAGGAGGATACCGCGGGCACGGCTGATCTGCGCATTGACAGTGCGCATGTGCTTAACGGCCTCGACGACATCACCGGTACCAGCCTCACCCTTAGTGCGGATCATAGCGGCGCCCTCGGAGATGCGGCGCAGGGCCTCGCCGAGGTTGCGGCAACCGCAGACGAAGGGGACCTTGTAGCCGTGCTTGGTGACGTGGTAAACATCGTCGGCGGGGGTGAGGACCTCGGATTCGTCGATGTAGTCAACGCCAATGGCTTCCAAGATCTATAGGCCGGTGATTGTTAGTGTCATTGTTACTTTTTATTTGCCTCCCCCGCCACCGGGAGATCTCCGTTTTCTCCCGTTAAGCCGTCTACCCCTCCCCCGCAATGGGGACAATTGTCACATACCTGGCATTCAACGAAGTGTCCGATACGGGCTTTGGCCATGACGGGAATGGTCACGGCTTCCATGATCTCCTTAATCATGCCGGGGTCGGACATGCGCGCAACGCCACCCTCAACGCGAATATCAGCGGGGACACGTTCGAGGGCCATAACGGCAGCGGCACCGGCTTCTTCGGCGATACGAGCCTGGTGAAGGAATATGTTAGTTTTCTGTTCTAAATAGTATCAATTCCTCGTTAAGAGAGATCATACCTGCTCGGCGTTCACGACATCCATAATAACTCCACCCTTCAGCATCTGGGCGAGGCCGGCCTTGACAGTGAAGTCATTGCCGGTAGTTCCATTTGGAGCAGCCATTGTGAATTGTGTGATAGCTAAAAGAAGGTAGGAAGTATGAACAAATGTAAACAGAAGTGAATAAGAATATCAAAAGAAAAAAAGAAGAAGAGAAGGTCCTAAAGGTGAGTCAGTAGGAAATATACTTTTGCCCCAAAGTTACTCGCCTCAGGCCAATCACACTCATCGCGCCCCTCGGCGAAGATCCCGGGTACTTTCTGTTTTCCGAGGATACCCTCTCCGGTGAGGAGCAGCCCACCGCCTGCTCTCTGTGGTGTTTGGCTCTCGGGAGATTTTCTGTTAGTCACGTTGTCACATTGGCGCTTGGCTCTTGGCTCTTGACCCTTGGCATTAATGTAACTGCCTAATTCAGTAGGCGATATACTTGGATGTGTGGCAGGCTTAGGGGCAGTTCAATATAGGCAGCTACATAGATTGATGCCCACTTGTTTACTCCGTAGGGCCGAGTCCAATTTTGGAAGTGACTCATCACTGATAGTACACTTTGTTCTATTCTGGAAGGAGAGTTGCTTGCTTCAGGTATAACACATTGCCTATGTTAAGCTATAAGTACCCGTCACTGCATGAGGTCTGCATATAAGTCTTGGTCATACGGAGTACATCGTATACAATTGAAGGGTCCACGCTATGTTGGCAACGTCCCTATGTATCATTCTACGCATTTCAAATGCCTATACATCCCCCAGTAGTCACAACAGACATAGTGTACTAATATACTGACAATAGATACAAACAAGTTAAAGCAAGACCCCAAAATACCAAAAAAAAAAAAAACCCCACGAAACTTCAAAAAAGAGCCTCAATCCTTCAGATCCATCCACGGATGAGCTCAGTGACATATGACGTCACCTGCTATCCTTATCGGCCAAGGGAGCTCATCTCCACCAAATCCGACTCTCCAACTCTCTCAATTGCAAGAAAGACGAGCAAAAAAAGAAACAATGTCATTCAGATTATTCACCCAACAACCCGCCACCCTTCTGCGCCTAGGTCTAGGCGTCGGAATTGGTCTCTCCGCGGCAACCATGCACCCCTTGTCACCCTTCCGCGCCGCCCCAATGCAATGCCAGTACGCCGTGCCCCAACAATCGTTCAGCAAAGATTCAGAGTGGGCTGTCAATCCTGCCGAATCGGTGGGACAGAAGCAGGTCCGTCCGCGGCGGACTGGGCTGTTGAACGCAGAGACTATGCGCCAGGTTAGCTTGGGGAGTGTGTTGGGACTTGTTGCTGGTGTTGGGTTGAGGGCATTTTCGAGGGCTTTGGTTGTTATTTTGGGGATGGGTGTTGTTCTTGTTGAGGTATGTATCAGCTTCTACCATGGACTTGGACTTTCCATTAGCTTCGTTGAGTGTTTGGCCATCCGAGGTTATGGGTTCTACTTGTGACGGTACGCTGATGCTTCTTCTCGATCGTAGTTCGCTGCGTCCAAGGGGTACAATATTCTTCCGATCAACCGGATTCAAAAGTATGTTAAGAACGTTGATCTGCGCCGCGCCATGAGCGAGAAACGGCCGTTCAAGATAAGTTTCGGTGCTATGATGGTGATGGCGGCGTTTGCGAATTTCTAGGCTTTATCTGTTCGGTTAGACGGAGATCTAACGCTACTTGTACATACACTCGAACAATGCCAAGTTGGACTTCGCCAATTGGCATGCACGCAATTTGGGCTGTTGGACGCCCCGATTAGAATTGGTAAAATGTTCATTCGTACAGGGTATCATGAGTCTTGATCTATTCCACACCAAATTCAGGGAGGAATCTACGCTACCCCAGCACCAGATCCTCCAACACGCCCTCCATTTCATCACGGGACAGTGGCACACCAAGTATCTCCATGCCGCTGGCATCCATGCGTGAAGTGATCATTTGGTGGTCGTGGAACTCCTTTAGCAGGGTACGGAACATCATCTCCGAGGAAGCAACAAACTCTTCCGTTGCCTTTTGGTAAAGCAGACGGAATTCGATGCCAGTTTCATCGCCAGCCCTGCCGCCACCCTCTCCCGCACCTTCGTCGTCTGATTGGTGACCATCATCCAGTAGAGTGATCAGTTCTGTCAGCAGGAGGCGGTACAGGTTGCGTGCATTCTCGGGAAGACTCTTGAGCACAAAGCCCACGCCATCTTTTCCGCCGACACGGCGGCCCTTGCGTCCAAGGAGAGTGTTGACCTCCTCGACGACGTCGGCCTCCGCTGAGAACGGTAGGAAGGTTGTACAGTCATGGAAGACGAGATTAAACTGATCACGCAGACTGATATCCCACATGACCGGGAAATTGGGGGTATCGGCTGTGGCTAGGAGGCGGATGCGCGGTGTTGCAGCCAGACGGGCGAGGAGCGCTTGGTTGGCTGCGCGACGGAGAGGCGGGGCATCAATAGAGTTGATCAAAACTGTGACGGGCTCTTCGTGCGACTTGAGCGCAGATTGTAGCAGCTCGAGGACCTCGGTTGGCTGTGCACCAAGTTTGGATGGTGCATCGTCGCCCATTACGGCTGTGACGATCGTGGCGAAGATTGATCGGATGGAGATGCCTGGTGTGTAACCATTGA